GACACGGTGCTCCATCTTCCTGGAACAACGTTGTGTACTTGTCCACGAAACCCGAGAAATAAAGTGGCAAGAGTCTTTCCTCCAATATTTCGCCAACGCACTCCACTAAACTCGATCTCCCACCAACCCAAACAGCTCCCCAAACCATCACGCTGAAACCACCATGCTTTACAGTTGGCTGCAATATGTTGAGCCAAAACTCTTGGTGAGGCATTCTCCAGACCCACATCCTTCCACTATCCGACAATTGAGCGAATCTTGATTCGTCTGAGAAAAATACGGTCTTCTAAAAGTCCAGAGGCTTGGTCATCATATCACTTGCCCACTTCTTTCGTCTTACTATGTTAGCAGGTCTTAATAAGGGCTTCCGTCTAGCTGCTCTGCAACGATAACATAATTTGTGGAGAATCCGTTGAATAGATTTTGGGCTCATCCCACCAACTTTGGCCACTTTTGCAGTCGTTAATCTGGGATCCATTTCGATGCTCCTCTTGACAGCCCTTTTTGTCCTTACTGATGGACCAGGACAACTCGGACGCTGCTCAGTTGTTTCCTTGCCGTGTTTCCTGAACTGCACGATGATTCTGTTGACTGTCGAAAGCGGGATTCCCAAATTCTGCAAAATTGGACGCTAACTTATTCCACCATCTGCTTGACCAACTATCCTTCCTCTAACAAAATCTGACAATTCAAGATAATCTTGAGTTCTAGGCATGTTGTAACACAATATAATTAGTGTGCGGATCATTTTCATTTATATAGTGCTCTGTGAACACAAATTAGTTAGCATAAATTAGTTAAATGACGAAAAATTAGGTGTCTAATTATCTGTGACCACTCAGTGTAAAGTGTTGGGTCTCTGAGAGCTCCTACCAAGCTGTGTCCACGATGTTGAAACATGTTGTTGGTGATGGTTAGGAAGTTAATAAAGGGAGCATCTGACCATGATAATGGCTCCTCAAGTGGTGTGAAACAGATCATTCCAGTGAAATTTAAATGCACAACAAAGAAAGATTGGTAATGCTTCCTGAAGTTTTTCAGACAGGTAATTACCTGGAATGGTCAAACTCTAGGACAGATTGTACAATGTCTGGTTCTATATCAAGATGGCCTGGTCCTAAACTCCATCGAGCTCGTGCACAAGAAGTAACTACGGGACTGTGTGATAGTCATTACTGAGTTGCATTAGATTCAGTGAAAAATAAAGCAACGCATCACGTCAAATTCAAGGCTTGGAAGAGGAGTATCATAGAAAACGTGACTATTGATGATAATGATTACCCTATAAATGCCTCATCAAATCACAAGGATACCCTCATTTACAAATTCTTGGAAAGCCTACCCAGTGATTTTATTTTGGCCAGTGGAAATAAACTAGACATGAATTTATAGGTCATGCTCTGACTATGTCTAGGAGTTTTCTATTACAGAACAGTAGTTGTTGCTGATCTCAGTTCTGACATCAGCATCCTTGGAAGAGATGTTCTGTGGTAGTTATCCAATGTCAACTAGGTGGACTCCAGCAACAGTCGACCACATGAGTGTATGTGGGAAAGGAGATCATAGTTCCCCATGTACATAATTAGAGTTCCATGGTTATGTCCAGTGCATTAATGTCACGTAACATGATTATACAGGCTTCACATAAAATAAGTGGTATCTAGAGGTTACAGCCCCACCTATGTTGTAATGAGAGTTATCAGTCATGTGAGTAGCACTAGTCACTGTGAGTAAATGTGAAGTTTCTTGCAAACTAAGGAACATTACACTTAAACAGTCTGAAACAGGATTTTGAATTTGCCATTGAAAGTATCAAGTAAAAGCAACAGTTTATTATATCATAAAGCAAGTACACACACTATGCTTTTATTTAATAAAGACTGTACAGTTTATACTACAATTTGTATCCATTTTCATTATCTCATTTTACATCAACTCAATTGGAAAGATACTTGGTATACTTCACAATCGATATCTTGATCGAATCTCTTGTTATAAATTGGATATATGAGATATTACTCTAAAGTGAGTCCAATGAATGAAAACGAAAATCACTTGCATCTTCAAACACATTTCAAGTAGTTGATACTATTAGTTTCAGTATTACTTTGTTTGCCTTATTTCCAAGAATACTGAGTTTTCTGACTGTGCACTTTCTTTTTAAAGTGGTTGTTCTTCTAAGATCAGTAAGTCAGAATGATCTACCTTTATGTCTACATTGTTTTATAAGTATTTTTACATTGATCTGCATTTTGTTTATTGATATAACGAAAATGGACTCACCTTCAAAGATTGACTGGAGAGGTTTACATAGTATTCTGTGTTGAATTAGGATATAAATGACTTTTTGTGTCAGTAAGTGGTGCTGTATATATCACGTGAAAGAAAATTCAGTGTCTTCAGAAATGTACATTTTGATCTGTGTCACAAAGAGAGTCCTTAATAAATGGATGGTAATTGAAAGATTGACTGTTTTGACTTACATGTGAGGTATATAAATATATAACTGCTTTGTATCTCTTTATTTAAGTATAGTATCATTCGAGATTTATCATTTATTTTGTCTGTAAGCAGTTTTCACATTACATGTGGTAAAGAATAAGCTGTAATGCTTCATGTTGTGCAAGAAGGGAGATTGTTTGTTTGTTTTGTTTGTTTTTTTAATTTCGTGCAAAGCTACACGAGGGCTATCTGCGCTAGCCGTCCATAATTTAGCAGCGTAAGACTAGAGGGAAGGCAGCTAGTCATCACCACCCACCACCAACTCTTGGGCTACTCTTTTACCCACGAATAGTGGAATTGACCGTCACATTATAACGCCCCCACGGCTGAAAGGGCGAGCATGTTTGGTGTGACAGGAATTCAAACCCGCGACCTTCAGATTGCAAGTCGAGCACACTAACCACCTGGCCATGCTGGGCCAAAAAGGTAGATAGCTGTTCAGTCAGATGATATTTTGAGGTTACAATCTTCTTCATGATTAAATGACAGGCCACGCAAGTAACATTAGTAGTCTCTCTGGATAAATCCAATATTTCCTGCGAAGTATGTTAAAAAGTGGAATAACCTTGAAATATACGGTTATCTGTGATATTCAATGCTGAATATCTACTTGACCAATCCTTTGTGTCAATAATCCATCAATAAATCTGAAGTCATATAATGCTAAAAAACAGGTTTTAATACCTGTGGTAGGAACAGCACGGATAGCTCATTGTGTAGCTTTGGGCTTAACTACAAACAAATAAAATTATTCAGTAAAAATAATGTAAAGTTTAATTTACTTAACGATAACGAGTTTTTTATTTCTTCGACTGTAACTTATAAGTTCTAGAGGCTGCATATTAGTTGACAGGCTAATCTATAATAATAAAAGGGCGTGTCTGTGGGTCTGTGTGTGTGTGTGACCACCATAACTCCAAGAGGAAAAAACTTAGAAACCTGAAATTTTGCACACATACTAAGTGGACCCTGAGGGTGTGCATCTGAGTATTATTACTTATCCATGTGCGCGTGCGCATCTTTTTGTGAGTTAAGCAAGCAAAAAACCACATAGAAAAGAATATGTGACCATTCTAGCTCCAAGAGCAAAGAGCCTAGAAACCTGAAATTTTGCAGCCATACTAAGTGCACCTGGGTATTATTATTTATCCACGTGTGTGCTGTGTGAGCGCATCTTTTTGTGAGGCAAGCTAGCAAAAAATCATATAGGAAAGAATATGTAACTGCCATAACACCAACAGAAAATAACCTAGAAACATGAAATTTTGCGCCCATACTAAGTGGGCCCTGAGGGTGTGCACCTGGGTATTATTACTTATCTTATCTACGTGTGTGCATCCTCTTAATGAGGCAAGCTAGCGAACAACCACATAGAAAAGAAGTGGTTCCTTACACTACAAATAAAGATCACATAGACAGACAGACAAACACTCACGTGCGCGGTGTGCAACTGGGTATTATTACTTATCCACGTGTGTGTGCGCATGCGCATTTGCATCTTTTTAATGAGGCAAGCTAGGGAAAACCACATAAAAAGGAAGTGCACATGATTCCTTATATAACAAGTTCTAATATATAGAAAACCCACTGCGTTTTGCTAACAATGCATTCCAACGGTGGCCTTTATGTTATGTTGCTTAGCAACAAAAGTATATATGTTATGCTTTTATGCTAAAATGGGTTCAGAATACACACACTATCAACCTAATAACCCCATGAAAGCCGGGTACTTTCGCTAGTTCACAAATAAAACTTAATAATCACTTATTTACTATATTTCATGTTGTAACTACGACACAACTTAAAACTGGTTGCCTATCAAACTTAGTATATATAGCAATTAATCGATAACACAGTAACAAACTGACCGACTAACTGTAACAATCTGATGATCTTAAATATTGTTACACTATTTTAGACTGTACGTGCTTATCACGTCAAATCAGTTCTAGAACTCCGTAACCAACAAATGGCAACAATAAAAACACTCAAATATTTAAAAAGCACAATCCACTACAATACTTATAATTCAAAATACTCTTTGTTTTGAGATTACATAGTGTTATATTTCAAAAACGTCTGTTAGTCAAACTTTCGTATAAAGTATCTGCGACTGTTTCGTTGGTGTTTTAAGCTTTTATATATTTTCCTGAACATCGGGTTTTCTTTTATGACAACTTTTTACAAGGAGTAGTATATTCAAATATCATTTTAAATAACTACATAGAGTAGGGATGATGTGGCTTTATTTTAGTGTGGTACAACAAACTGCTACCCACATCAGTAAGATTTATTATTTCGTGATAATAATATTGTTAGCTTTTGGAAAGATAACATCTACGCGTTTTCCCGTGTTCGAGCCCATTGATAAGTTAATTGGCGATACGAGTAAATTTAATGTTTGGAACGAAAGCGCATGTGCAGAATATGAAAACTTTTTGTGTACAGCGCTATGAATTTGAAATAAAAGTATTTAGCCTACTTTTAAATTTCTCTGGCTTTTCGCCTATGCCGTAAACTATATTTCTTGATAAGAATATTAACACTTAATAACAATTAACTTTGCCGTAACATTGACAGTTTGAGTTTATCATAAAAAACTGAAAGTTAAACTTTGAAGTTGAAGGTAAAAGAAAAATATAGCTTTAATTAAAATATTATTAAACTGATTTGAAAAAAAAAGTTTAATAATAATATATTACAGTACGTAAGTAACTCAGGCGAGTAAAGAATAATTAGTTTTAACGACATTCTAAGTGCTTTTTTTTAAATTAAGCATTCTTTTTAACTATTATTACTGATAATGATACTATAATAGAATTTCGAATGTTTATTGTTAAGTAGGTCAGGGTCTGTTAGGCTAGTGTTCTGACACCGTATTGCCACTCAAACTCAAAGAGTGGATCAGTATTGTGTGGTTTTTTTTACACTAATAGTACTGACAATTGTACAAAACAAACACCTGTTAATTAATGTTATTTCATGTATCATCTAGGCTCGTGGACACTGGATGTGAATTGTCAGAATAGTAAAGGTACAATGTAGTAGGTAGGTTACACGTTTTTAGTTTTGGAACTAGCTCTGTTAATGTAACTATGTAACAGTACAAATTAGAATTATAGTTAATATTTGTTCTACCTCATCAATTCATGGTCTAACAATTTATAATTTTATTTGAAATTTATCAATTGCAGGGTTCCCACAAACCAGCAAAATGAGGGAAATTAAAAGTATTTGGGGAAAAACGGAAATATTTTTTGTTATGTTGTGGAACATGAAATAGAATAAAAATGCAAAATTTATAATATAACATAATTTGTGATTATATAATAAAGAAAACACAAGAAAATATTCTCCATCTAGTATAATAGTTGCTTTTAAAGTTAGAAGTAAGTTCATCCTGAAAATCCAAATATTTTGCAATGTACATTTTACTTTTTTTTAGGCTACTGCAGCAATTACTAATGCTGAACAGGAATTGGCAGCTCTGTGATGGAAAAACAATAGCATTATATATCTAAATGCATTTTAAAATGTTAAACCAGGAAAATGTGGTAATGTTATTAGGGAAATGAATATAAAAATTTGTGTGTGGGGACCCTGCACTTGCCAATTCTGGTTATTGTTATATTTGGCACTTAATCCCATGGCATTGGTTTATTTATGCAAAATTAAATAACATAATATCTAGTAGTAGTAAATGTATAAGAATAATTGTATGTCACTACTACGTACAATTATCATACTGTGATTTATGTTTTTGTTTTAAGTGTTAGAAGTTAGTCACACACACACACACACATATATATATGAGCTTTATATTTCAATTAGTTGCTTAGGCATGTTTTTGAAATTAGATATTTCAGTTTTAACAACTATCATTATTTCATAAAGATGTCACTTATCTTAAATTACATTTTCAAAATAAATCCTTATAAACAAAACATAAAATAGGTTTCATAAAATAAAATTTTCACTTACAATGGCTTAAGGATAAGTTTAATGCTAGCTTACTAAAGAATGTAAGGGATAAAGTAATAAAAGCATTATAAATTTAGAAATTTTAGTGTTGTAATGAGAGATTTTGGGATTATAGGATATCAAGAGAGAAAGTTAAACCGGATGTTAGAATTAAGCAATTGAAAAGGAAATATGAAAACAATTTGGCTGAGAATATAAATATTAACAACAAGAATTTTTTTACATACATCAAGGGTAAGCAACATATTAAGGTGGTGTGGATTTTGTATATTTGAAGTTTCAGAGAGAATTTGACAAGGTTCCACATTGAACTTAAAGTATTGCTATAAATATTCGTAGGTGTGGAGAATAAGTTGGCTTATTGAATCAAAAAATGGCTGGAAAGACAAAGGCAGAGAGTTTTTGTAAATAGATTCACTCAAATTGAATTATTTTCACAAGTGGGATACCCCAGAGTTCAGTGTTGGGGCCTTTGTTCTCTTTTTATCTACATCAGTGATATAGTTAAAGGAATGGTAAGTAAATTGGTTAAAGTTGCTGATGATATTAAGGTCTTGAATGTTGTTGGCTGTGTGAAAGATGCTGGTGGTTTACAAAAGGATTTAGATCATTTAAAGAGTTGGGTGAATAACTGGCAGATAGTTTTTAAATATAATAAATGCAAGGTAATGCATGTGGGTTATTTAAATTATAAGTATCATTTTGATTGGAATAACTTTAATACTGTTAAGGAAGAAAAGGATGTAGCTGTTTTGGTTGATTGGTCTCTCATGTCATTCAAGCAGTGTGCTGTTGATAGTGGTAGGGCAAATAGGATTGTGAGCTATATTTACAGAAATATTGAAAATGAGTCTGAAGAGGTTATCATTTCAATTTATAGGTCACTGATTAGGCTTCATGTATGGTAATTTTTTCAGGCTTTGGCTCCTTACCTTAAGAATGAGAAAGGTAAAAAAATAAAAGGACAGGTTAAGATTTTTGAAATTGTTTTCTTTGTAAAAAAAGTAGCTAAGAGTAGAGGAGATCTGTCGAGTGTTAAGATTGTTAAGACAATTAATAATACCGATGCATCATTTGTTTCATATTTAAGGGTAAGAATTTTAAGAGAAGGGGACACTAATATAAATTTTGACAGAATAGGAGTAATCTTCTTTGGTGCTACTATAGCATGCGGTCTACAAAGATGTTTACACTATAACGTGCAGTTTACACAGATACTATCATCATCACCATTTTAATATTCATTTATGTGCAATTGGCACCAGTTATTATAAATAATGCTTTTAAACTAATAAAGTACAAAACACCATTACATAATGTTTTTGGGGCAAATATAATTGGAATGAAATAAGTTCCAACAATCAAAACTAATGCAATTATTACCTAAATTTAAGGTACTCTTTTGGAACACACAACTTATTAAAGTATTATTATTATTTGCTGAACAAAAACGTAGATAGATATAAATCATTTAGCAAGAAATTATGTTTTAGTGAATCATTGAAATGGTGATAATGATAGTATCTGTGTAAACTGCATGCTATAATGTAAATATCTTTGTAAACTGCACACTATAGTAGCATCTCTTCTTTTTAGTCTGTTTTACTTTTCTAATAGGGTACTTAGCATTTGTAATGCATTTCCATAAGATGTGATGGATGTAGTTTAAGGGAAGGTTCAATAAACTTTTAAATAATCAGGGCTGGATTTGAGTGAGTGTTTTGTTTTTAGTGATGGGACAATCTTATTGGACCAATAAGGTTCTTGTTGTCTCTTAAATATTATGTTATTTTTCTGCATCATTTCTCACATATAAGGCCATATTGTTATAAGCTATATTTTCAGCATTTTAATTTAGGTGTTAGCTTGCTAGAGAGCGCTTGTCATTCTGATGAAATTATGATCTAGAATTTTCATGTTGTAATGAGAAAACGAGTACAATGTAAAAAAAGAATCAATGAGTTAGTGATTCAGCTCGTAAGGAATTCTGCAAGTAAGTTTATTGTGAGTAAGTTAGGCATACATATTATTAACTTTGGAATTTTTGGTCAAATGTTATTTGTAAAGTTAGGCCTACGAAGTTCAAGTGAATGAAGCCTATACTGTAATAAATGCTGTTGAACAAATAAATAAATAAATCTATAATTAAATGAACTGAACTTGACATTATTTTTACCAAATAATCCAAAAGAACCCACCCACTGACTGCACACATTACAACATTGATGTCAAAAGTGGGATTATTTTGGTACAAGTAAAAATATAACTTTGACTAAATTTCAAGTTGATAACCTAGTTATGTAATGAGACTATAACTGTGATAATGATGAATTGTTTCTAGTTGAGCACAAAGCTTCACAATGGGCTATCTGTACTCTGTCCACCAGGGCTATCAAAACCTGGTTTCTAGCATTGTAAGTCTGCAGATATACCACTGTGCCACTGGGGGATAAGAAATGATGAAACAAGCAAAAGATCAGGAAGAAAGAAACAGAAAATTAAAAGCAGAAAGAGATAGAAGGTCAAAAGAAGACTAAGAAGAAATATTTAGAAAATTAGAAGAAAATCAAGAGGTAAAAGATATAAATTTAGTAGAGAATATTTATAGAAGAATCAAGAAAATATATAAATCTGATTGAAGACAAAATTGATGAAGCTATTAGGAGCATATAGATTGTTTATATAACAAATTTGAATAAGTGCAGAAATACATCAACAATGTACAGAAAGGCTATAATGACAAAATTTAATAAGTACAAAAAAAGACAGAATAAAACATTTGTAAAATGAATTAGTAAATGCATAGATCAAACCAACTATATCTTTTTAGTGCATCAACCTCAGAATTCTATCCTAAAATACCATTTACTGTAAAATATGGAATAGTAGAACCTATTTTTCCTACACCTATTACTACTACTACTTTGACATCTGTGACTGCCAGACTTTCCTGGACTACTCCATTTATGACACTATCAAATCAGGTTCAGCCAGTTCAAAAACATTACCCAGTTGAGAAACCAATGGACTATGGTGGAAAAGTACTATGGGAGGCATATCAGGCTTGGCTTAAAAGAATATACAATATGAATGGGTGGAATATTGAAGAACAAGGTATTCATTTTGCTTCCAATTTTAAAAGGACCAGATTTATCAACATTAAGTAATCTTCAAGCTGTAACAACTATCAGTCATTGGTAGTTATCCAATAGATTTGGAATGATAAACTAGAAGGAAGTATCCAAAGTAAAATTCCTCAGTATAGAACAGAGAGAGAGAGAGAGAAAATATCTTCAATACAATCACTAACCTCCATACACAGAAAGCTATTTTCCTTTGGAATTTGTGCTAATCTTCCGGGTTCGGATCCCTGTTACACCACACATGCTTGCCCTTTCAACTGTAGGGATGTTATAATGTGATGATCAATCCCACTATTTATTGGTAAAAGAGTAGCCCAAGAGTTGGCAGTGGGTGGTGATGACCAGCTGCCTTCCCTCTTAGTCTTAAACTGCTAAATTAGGGATGGCTAGCTCAGATACCCCTCGTGTAGCTTTGCGCAAAATTCAAAACAAACAAACAAGCTAATCTGCCTGAGAGACTTGCATACCACCAGCTTTGTGAAAAGTCTCACCAAAAATTCATGGGAATCATGTGAAATTACACTACTGCATGATAATGTATCATGCAGCAACATCTCCACCAATAGCAGTGTGACACACCTCCTTGTGCAAATGCACCCTCTACATTAACATTAGAAATATTTTATTCACTTCCTAAACATGGTTATACTTATACATGTATATATTTTTGTTGAGATTTGTTGAAGTAACTACCTCAATAACTTCATTTTGTATTTTCAACCTTTCAATATTAATTTACAGATTAATGTGAATTCATATTGAAAGGTTGTGAGTACAAATATCACTCACTATTACCAACAATTTAGGAAGTCTTGCCTGTTGAGATTGTGACAGCCATAGTGTATTGCAAAAGGTGCCATTCAGATTGGAAATACAGTACAAAGAAGAGTGACATCATATAGTCTTCCATGTGGTGGGGTCCAT